ATGAGGGGCACAGAGTAAAGAGCAATAAGTATTCAATTAAAATAGAATAGAATAGAATTCTTTATTGGCCAAGTATGATTGGACACACAAGGAATTTGTCCAGTAGTGGTATTCATTTACCTTCGCTACTGGTTCGCAAATGTAAGTGCACGTGTGTGTGCGCTTCACTTACACGTGCCACCTCTACGCATACACAGAGCACCCATGATGACGTCTGGGTGGATGGGTGGGTGGAGCCTCCTGCCACCGATACTACCGATTCACCCGAACCAGGTAGAACCGGTCAAATCCCACCACTGAATTTGCCTTTGATGCATATGCTCTCAATGTACATAAAAAGACAAGATACATTCGTCAACAATCGTAAGTACAACACTTAATGATAGTCATAGTGTTAGGATATGGTATAAGTCTAACAGGTTGTTCAGGCAATATATGTGTTCTATCACTTTAAATGAGTTCTATAACTCTAAGATGTAATGCTGAATAATTGTACTGCTGAGTCATTGTAATGACTAATGACTGCTGACTAACTGCTGACTGCAATTATAATAATTGTACTGTTGAGTCATTGCACTGCTGACTTCACTTATCTTAAGTGGATAATTACTAGTGTAAACTGTATATAAGAAGGAAGCCGAGCTATAGGCATTGTTGGACTTGCTCTCATCATTGCTTGACTTGCTGCTTGACTTGTTGGTTGGAACTGTTACCGTCATATGTGAAGAAGTGGATGGATCTGCTATCATCGTGATTTGTTACCAGCGTTGAATTGCTGTTTATTACTTACTGCTGTTTGGTAAGAAGATATCTGTAACTTCGGATTGATTTGAATGGCTAAAGACTTGGATTGATTAAAAGACTATGCAATTGTTTTTTCACTACAAAGTAAAAGCTTTGTTAAACCAGTTTGTATGTATTGTATTCATTGCTCTCAGTACCGTTTCTCTGTGCATTTACTCTGCTGGTTGGTAACACAACAATATCCTTAACACATAGGGTACAAATAAGCAATCAAATCATACTAGAAAATAATCAATATCAATATAAATCGTAAGGATACAAGCAACAAAGTTACAGTCATGCAGTCATAAGTGGGAGGAGATGGGTGATAGGAATGATGACAAGACTAATAGTAATAGTAACGCAGACTTAGTGAATAGTGCAATTAACAATGCAATTCTGAGAAAACAGGCTTCCTGAACGTGTATAGAAAAACAATATGTAATGTTAATATGTAATATTAATAATTTTACATACTCATTTCAGTCTTTGGGGCAAATTACAAAGAGGTAAAAACAACCAACAATACAATAATGCACATAATACAGGTAGTCCTAGATTTACAATCATAATTGAGCCCAAAGTGTATGTTGCTAAGCGAGACATTTGTTAAGTGAATTTTAGCCCATTTTACGACTTTTCTTGCCATAGTTATTAAGTGAATCACTGAATTTTTTTAAGTTAGTAACACTGTTGTTAAGTGAATCTGGTTCCCCATTGACTCTACTTGTCAAAAGGTTGCAAAAGGGGATTACATGACCCTGGGACACTGCAATCATCAGAAATAGGAGTCAGCTGCCAAGTGTCTTAATTTTTATCACGTGATCATTGGGATGCTGCAACAGTTATAAGTGTGAAAAATAATCATAAGTCACTTTTCTCACTGCCGTTGTAACTTTGAATGGTCACTAAATGAACTGTTGTAAGTCAAGGACTACCTGTATAAGACAATACATAGGTACATAAAAATCATAATAAAAACCCATAAAATTCACAGGAAAGGTAGTCACACCTACCAATAATATTCAGTAAAGCCATTGTGTTAACTGCTGCTTCCCAAGTCTTTGTGCTTAAGATATTTCCTCTGTATGCTTATCGTAACAATGCAAGTGGACTCACCATAAGCCATCACAACAACTTAGTAAAATAACAATTGCAGCATTTATTTAGATTTTTACAAATTGTCACAAAACATATTTATCGTTTTTCTCAAGCTACATTAAAAATATATATTTCCATGAGGTTTGAATTTCATTATACGGATTTCCATTAAATGGGAAATGATTATTATAAGTCCTAATAATTTATACCATCACGTTCAGTATTAGTTTATTTTTTAAAAAACTAATCAGAAAGGAAAAGAAGGAAAAAATCTTTAATGGAAATATATTTCACTTAAATGTTTTTCCTAATAGCTATATGATGTAATTCTAGTAATTTCAGCAAATATTGTGTTTTCTTCAAATAATAATTCTTAAACATCTTTGAATAAAAATATGCAGCTGCACAGAAACAAACACATAAGGAGATTGATATCAAGATATAAAAAGGAAAGTAGCTTTGCAAAAGCAATTTTGCAACAATGTTCATATACTCTCAAATCTGAACATTGAATATGAACTCATTAAAACCATGAGTTGATCACTTTTAGAAATATACCTCTTATCATTTATTTTAGGCTTAATAACAATTAACACAATAGGATTAGCTTCTTTTTAAATATTCAAGCTTCTTTCAAGGATCACAGATATCTATATATCTATACTAATCTATATTTATCAATTAGTAGTCCTAAAATTGGAGCCAGATTGTTGGGGGCAATATGCTGACTCTGTAAACCATTTAGAGAGGGTAGTAAAGCACTGTGAAGTGGTATATACAGTCAGTCGAAGTGCTATTGCTAATGTATGTGTACAACTATCCTATGAATTAGATCTGTCACATGACAAGTCTTATTATCTAATAATTTCCAAAATAGTTTAAAATCAATCTGTATTTCTGTACTTATCTTCATCCAAAAATGTCAAAAATTTCCAGCCTGATACTATCGACATGATTGCAAATTTGGAGTTTGCAGAGATATCTTATTTGATAATAGCCAATTGCTGACCAGAATGCCAACCAATCAGTGCACATCCTTTGCTTCAGGATAACTAATCAGTAAGACATACAGAACCAGTCACATACAGAAACATATTTTAGTGCTCTATTGAATTAACAAACAGCTTTTCATGCTTTTTTTGACAAGAAAAGTAACACATTTCTAACATTCCTGGCCCCATATCCACAATATTCATGCGTTATAATAATAGTTGCAATTTGTCCACATATATTTCTTCAGATTTGACTGGTAGTTTGCAAAATGATTCTTCCAATAGGCCGGAAGGGGAATATCACTTTAAAAAGCAATTAACAAATGTATTCAGAAGCCACAGGAACTTTTCATTCGCCAGAGTGTCATTGTACAGTAAAGCAACATTCTGGCTAGTCCAGGGAAATACACACATATAACGGCACAGCAAGACTCACACAGTAGGGGGAAAAATGAATTTCAGGACTTTCCCCAGGACCAAAACTCCCAGCAGGATACTAAAATGGGCTATATAAAACATAATCTATTTGTTGAGAAGAAGGGGAACAGCATTAAGTCTCTTCTAACTGGAAAACAGATGCCTATAAACCCAAGTTGAAACTGCTGGGTACCAAATTTTATTCATTTCAGAAGCAAGTCAGAAAAAAATCAAAATAGATTATCTGAGGATGTTGGGGAATTGGAAATTTGCATCACATCAAATCACCATCTGGAAATGTTCAGTACTTAGCCCAAGGGCTCCAATCAACTTCATGGCTAAGTACATTTGTACATAAGTTTCTATTGTACATAAAACACTCCATTATTACAATATGCTAGGGAACGAAACAGCATAAAACTCTCTATATAGAATCTGTGTTAGCATTATCTTGTAAAGAAATATCATTTCATCCTTAAACTTGAATATTTCTGACTTCAAAATTCTTCACAATGATTACATTTCCAAAAGTCCTTTTGTCACACTCCAGTAGACGATTCAGGCAGAAGAACTGCTTAGCAAGCACTACTTAACTGCAAAAAAGTATGAATCTGTTATTAGAATGCTGAACACATTAAGACTGCAGGTATAGGTTATCTAACTGAATAAATGATAAAATGTGAATGAATTTAGAATGTTATTTTTAAAATTAAACAAATGAACTTGTCTACCTTGGTAAAATATTTGCTAACAATGGATGGAGAAATTTTCAGATGTGCAAATACTAGTGGAAAGGTAGTGGGTAGTATATGGCATTTTGTGAGGGATTACTATTTGTCAGAAAAAACAAACATGGTTATATGGGAGAATGCTTCTGCCCACACTGTAGCTGGAATACTTGGGTATATCACGAAAAACCAATCAAACCAAAGGTAGTGTGAAGATTTTCCTAAAAACTTCCTGTGTTAAAACAAGAAGTCAAGAGTCTTAATCTATGGGTGTTTACTAAATGTAGTTTGAATATAAAAATATAAAAAAGTACATTAGGTGGCTTAGTCATATAAGAAAATGAGCAAAAATCAATCTGCAAAATATGAAAAAAGAAAGTTAAGAGAAAAGGGAAGAAATAAAGATTTCATTGTGTTCAGGACTTGCCAGTTCTTTATGAGAAGCTAAAACTGTAGAAAATGAGTTTATAAAGATTGATTCAGAAAACACATTTTATTAAAGAGGATTCAACAAATGGAACACCAAAATGATACAAAAGTCTATGATCTTTCCTTTAAGTATAAACCTTAATTATCAAGAATTAGCTCACTGCCGTTACGTAATAGCCTTTATTGTCACATGTGCAGCGTCACATCATGCCAAGCAATGGAGCTGAAATGAAGTAAGAATTAGCAACTCCCTTTTTACAGTACTTGAATTGACAGATTCATGAAGCTAGAGACTACTTCAGTGGTTAATGCTTTAAACTATATTGAAATGGTTCTATGAGCCTGAGACAAAATAGGAACTGAAAGAATATGAAGAAAGACTTGCCCTGCATATCTATTGGAGTAGCTCTCTTGGTGAATGCATTTCAGCATGTGTGGAGTTGGCAATACAAATCTTCAGGCTTACACGAAAGATTTGAAATAGGATGGCTGGCTAGATACGAATGTTCAAAATAAAGTTAACTAACTATAAAGCTATAATTTCAATCAGACTGTTTCAGAGATCCTGCAAAATATGAAAAGTTCAACTTCGGATACAGACCACAAGAACCAGAAATGTCATGAAGTATCAAGAAAGCAGTCAGATATCAGAACACGAAAAGGCTATTATTGAAGCTGACTTCAAATGATATGTCTAATTCTAAGGTAATGATGTTATTATATGCATTAAGAATGGAATCTTGTTCTCAAGTTATTTTGAAAGCATGGCTAAATGTTTCTTACTAAAAAAGATTAAGAATGAAAGCTAGCAATGATTTTTAATGTATAGCTTTAAAAGTATACTTTTAAAACAAAGTATATTTTAAGTTATGCCTAAAAATATTACCTTTTTAGAACATGCCTGCATATGGTAGTGGGTGTTATTCAAATGTGATTATTGCAGAAAATATATATTTACAATAAAAATTATAATTCTTTTAGACTTTACATTTATTAGCTATTTATTTGGAAAGACAGAATATATCACTTACAAACATAACTATCATTTAAAAATATTTTCCTTTCCTCAAAATTACTGTATGGTAATTTATATTTTGTGATAGCTTATATTTGGTGATCTTATAAATTCATCATGGTATTCATAATTCTACAGTAACATATGATCCCAAAGTGGATTACACCTTTAACGTTGGTTATATTGATCTATTTGGATGGATTAAGTTTCTATTCATCACTTTAAATCAATTGGTTTGCTGCATACCTTAGTGTTTGTACAGATTCATCGAAGTATTTACAAAAATCATTGACAAATAAGGTGGCAAAAGATAAGCAAGAATCTTAGTGCCTCTAGAAATAAAGTTGCCAATTCCCTAGCATCATATAAATTGTATTGTCAATCTAATTATTTCTAAGTATAAAAAGAGGATGTTTTTTTAAAGGTCCAGCTGGCCATTTGTCATATTCTGCTGTTTCAAGTCAATACAAGATTACGTAATGCACAAAATATTTATATCACCAGGCAGAATAGCTGCTTGGAATGTGCACAGCCTCCATTATCATTATGATCACACTGCGCATTACTGTCACCTTCAAGTTTCTACTAATTCAGTGCTTTAATCATGGATAACCAACATATTTAAACATCTGGGGAAAAAAAAAACTATTGTACAATTAGGCAGCCAGAGTACCTGACATTACATTAAAAAAGAAAAGACAGTTTTGTACAGGATAATTTATGAATTCTGGTAAACATGGATCTGGAAATGTTGTTTCTTGAACCCATCATCTATCAGCTGCTATTTTATCAATTTTAAAGGTTTTTGCTTTTTTTTCTTCTTCTATCTTCAAGCTATTGCTCTACAAGAAATTATAAACAAGCCTGGTTTTATAGGTTGTTACATTCCTTCCCTTGTAAAAAAAATTTAAAAAAAAAATGTCAGGCGAATGTGCTTTTCGGCCATATTTCCTGTTCAGGACGGAGAATGAAGTTAAAGGGATGAGGGAGGGTGCTTTTTCCCCCCAAATACGCTGTGCTCGCACAAGAAGCGGGTTAGCGCTTCTCCTTAAGAGGCGACAGTTCTGGAGGACCAACAGCAGCCCCGGCAGCAGCCCAGCTGACGCTCAGCGCGCTGTTATCACGCCAAAAACTGCGCGCAGCTGAAGCCGCAGCCCTGGGAAAGGCAGGCGAGGAGCGAACGCGGCAGCAGAAACGCCTCCCAGCTTAGACCGGCTCCGGCTCCACCTCCAGCGCTGCCGTTCGCTCGCTCGCTCCCAGTCGCCGCGGCCTTGGCGCTTTCAGAAGTAAAGGGAGGCGGGTTTTTCCTCGTTCCGTCTGTCTGCGCTGAAGCAGCTTCCTGGTCACCTGAGAACTATAAGGAAGGAGGCCGGCGGCTCGACTGGTTTCGGTGTTCGCCATGGCTTCGCTTTTCAAGAAGAAGACGGTGGACGGTGAGTGAAGTTGAAACCTGGTTTTATTTATTTATGTTGTTGTTATTATTATTATTGGTGGGGTTGCCGCGCCTTTTGCAACAGAGGTTCCCTTAATTTCTCGAAGGTGTACTCCTTCCTATAGCTCCCTTCGGTTGTGTAGCCCACTTCTGATGTCAGAGGCGCACAGGTACCTCTATCTTACAAGGGTCCAGGGTTTCCCGAAACCTTTTGGGGAATTCAGCTGTATTTTAACGAGTTTGATCTACGGCAACGCTCTGTAGTATAGGAGTGATAGAAATCTAGTTCAAATATTGCTGCTGGCGAAACTGTCCCATTTTTTATTATCATTTACCTATATGATTCTTGGCGAAATTATGTCTTAGTTTAAGCCACCACCCCCCTATGACTGTCCATCCTGCCCCTTCACCCTTCAGCCCCGTGATTGCCAAAATATCCTGGATGTTAAATAGTAGTCATGATACTTTTTGGGTTGGATTCCTTGCCCTTTTGGTCTACATGTTTCTCACTTTCAGCTTGACTTGTACTAGGTTTAAATATATAGGTGGTTTGGGGTGTTCATTTGCATTGTTTAAAAAGGTAGAGTGGGAGTGGAATGGCTCTTGTTACAAAAGGTATGTTGAGAAATAGTTTGTAGAATTAGTAGAAACAACATACCAGGTTATTTAATTTTCAGAGTTGTTTTATACTGTGTATAAACCCTGTTGAGCGAATGAAATTGAGCCATATGTTTAGACTGAAAAAAAATTACATAGAGAAACTAATTTAAATCTAAAGGAATTTGAGGAAGCTATACTTTTTTGCAGATAAGTGTTGTATGTACTTTTAAGTAAACTTTACAGAAAACTAAACTGGTCAAATGGAAAAAGGGATTATTTTAAAGGATGTAAGATATTAAAAGTTGCTTTTTACAGCAAATTGAAAACATTGCTAGAAATAGTCCAAATAGTAGGGTTTTTTAATCTTGGAAATAGTGTCTCATGCAGGGTTTTTTTTAGAAATTAACAAACCAAAAACCTTAGTTTGGAACTTTTCAGGGCACACCAGTGTTAGGAAACAAATAGCTTGAAAAAAACTTCTTTTTCAGGAGAAGACAAATTAGTATTCCAAAAATTTTTTTTTTCATTAGCATTGCTATATATTTCTTGGAAAATAAAAAGTATATCTTCATTTTCTTCCATATATTTTTATATGAAGAGAACACACAAAGGCGCGCACACACACACACACACACACACACACACACACACACACATTGACAAGCTATTTATAGTTATCACAGCTCAAACAATAACAGGATCAAAAGGCAGAAGGCACTGCATTTTAAATAAGTTTTTTTCTCTTGTACAGAATAGATAACTGCAGGGGAATGTTTTGAACTGCTTTGAAGCAGATAATTTATATCTGGACAAAAGGCAATTTTATTATGACTGAAACAAAAGCTGCTGTCTTATGGTTATTGTGAACTGAGACTTAAATTACAATAGCGATGGAGCTTTAGAATGTGTTTACTGAATGCTGAATATTTTGTATGTGCCTTGGCTATTTCTATGTTTTCTAATTTTCACAATTTTCATATTGATTTAATTTGAAAATAGATTGTTGTGAAAAAGTAGCATCCATTTTACAATGTATGAATTCTTATTAAGGATAAACTTTCAACTTGTAGATTTAACTTTACTGGAAAAGACATTGACAAACAAATCCAAACTATGATTGATAAACTCATGTGGCTTCTGAAAGGTAGTCATTGTAAAAATGAAAGGAGGGGAGGCAGTGTTTTTCAGATTCTGTTTTATATGCCACTAATGTTCTTGCTGTCATGAATTCACTGTACAGATAGTATCAATGGTTCACAGAATACTTAAGTTTTCTACATAAGTTTTTCAGGTAATAGAAATTTCTGTGATTACTTATTAAAATTTGGGCCAATCAGGTGATAAAGCTGTCCTATATTATGCATTCTTCTGACATGCAAACAGTTATGAATACAAACCAAACCAAATATTAAACATATAAGTAATAACAGTATAACAGTATCAATAAGAATGAATGGGCAGAAAATCTGAATACCAAGTAAAATTGCTGTGTCTTTGTTCTCATGAGAACTAATTAAAAAGGCATAATAATTGGCAAGAATGAGGTTAATTCCAAAGTTTCAAGGCCACTGAATATAAAACAGAATCCAATTAAATTTATATTTAATGTAAACTTCACTCTCAAAAACTTGCACAGTTATAATATTACAAAATTAAAACAACAATACAGTTAAAAACAAAAATAACATTACTCCTCCTCCTCCAAAGCATATCAGTAACAAAAAATAGTGAAAAGTAAGGTACAGGTTTAAGTCAGGAATTATATAGGCCATTGCATTTTTAAAAGATTACAATTTTAATTAATACTTTAAAGGTAGCCATATAAAGTGTACTGGGTTGTATGATTGGGTGATAATGAAGATAAAAGTTATAGTTCATCCTCCTGTGGCATGTAAAGTCATAAAATGTATCAATGAAAATTATACAAAGGTCCCCTTGTCATACTTCCTGATCAAGCATGAGTCATAAGTCCTGAAGAGCCTCTAAATCATAAATCACTTTCTTCCTGGCATTGCTTGCCCATATAGAAATAATGCTGGGGTTGACAGGTCTCAATATACAATGAGCAATTGTATCTTCTTAATTTCATATTCAGTCTGTTCTCCAGGAGTTGAGATATAATATCAACAGAATCTCTCCTTCATCCAAAGATGGTAATATAAATTCTGTACCATAGAATTATAGGGCTATAATGGATCTTGGAGGTCTTCTAGGCTAATACCCTGCCCAAGGCAGGAATCTTTATTTTTGGTTGTTGCTTTTTTTTACTTGCAAATATATTACTTGCAAGACCACTTCCTTTCCCATCAGATCTGTCAAGAAAAATATGCTCTGAGACTGTTGGGTAAAACAGTTTCATCTAGGTAGATGCAGGAGAGATACCCTCTATCACAGCCCCTGCCTATGAAGCTTTTCTCCCAGATGGCCCCAAAATTTTTACCCCAGTCCTTATGGCCAGATTATTAGTGAAACTTGACATGTGTTGTGACTTGGTTCATAAGGTGCCATAACTGTATAACATTCTTTGTTTGTTTGTCTAATGTGTTTTATTTGTGGCTCATCCAGACTTATTTGCTTAAGACATATTTTTCTAACTAAATTAAGAAGCAGTTCAGATGTATATTTGCCCAAAATATATAAGACTAATTTTAGAATGTATGTAGAATAGAACATAGACTCATAGGACTGACAGAGACCTCAAAGGTCTTATAGCCCAGCACTCTTCTCAAGGCAGCAGATCTTATACCATCCTGGACAAATGGTTGACCAGTCTATTCTTGAAAATCTCCATTGATGGAGCACCCACAATTCTGGGAGGAAAGCTGTTCCACTGATTATTCGTTCTCTCTGTCCAGAAATTCCTCCTTATTTCCAGTTTTGATATCCCTCTGACAAGCTTTTACCCATTGCTTCTTGTCCTTCCCTCAGGTCTGGAGAATAAATTGGCCCTTTCTTGACCATGATAGCCCTTCAAGTATTGGAAGCCCTCTATCATATCTCCCCTAACTTTCTCTTTGTTACACTAAACATACCTTAGCTGTTTATACAGCTAAGCATACCTCTTAGCTGTTCATATATAATTTAGCCTGTGAACCACCTCTTATTATCTTCATTGCTCTTCTCTGCTGTCTTTCTAGAGCCTCAGCATCTTTTGTATCATGGTGACCAGAATTGGGTGCAGTGTCCAGATGTGGTTTCACTAGTGCAGTATAGAGCAGTACTATCACTTCTAGTGATCTTAATGCTATACTTCTGTTGATGCAGTCTAGAACTGTGTTGACTTTTTAGTAGCTGCAGAACACTGCTGACTCATGCTTAAGTGGTGGTCCATCAAGGCATCTAGATCCTCTCACAGGCACTGGTGAGCCAGATTCTACATATCCTGTACATGTACATGTGTTTTTTTCTGAGTAGGTTCAGGACCTTATTTTTCTCACCACTGAAATGTTGGATATCATATTGGATGTTAAAAGTATTCTGATGATGCTACGCCCTGAACTTACCACTAGTTGAAGGATAGAAGAAGTAAAACCATTTATTCTGAGATCCCTGGTATGGGGGGCAAGAGCCTAACCTCTCACTTTCCCCATCAAATTGAAACTTTCCCCATCCACTGAGAAATAGTGCCTCCAACTCCTATTCCTCACAGTTTTGGTATCAAAAGCTGCTGAGAGATCCAATAGGACCAGGAGTGGCCTCCTTTTTCCCCATTGCCTCATATTAGGTAAAAGAACAATATATATATGGTATATGTTTCTAATGAATTTTGTCTGATCACTCTGAATTTGTTTATAATAGTTTCTTTACTATATCAATTTAATAAAATCTTGTTGTTTCCATCTTTTAATAGAATAATAAAAACTTTGTGTCAGATTTAGGATCATATCAAAAACAGACTATTTTTGTTCTAATTAATTTAATCTTAAATGGATCTTAAATCTCATTTAAGATCCAACCATCACCATGATTTCCTAACCTAAACCTAGTCAGTTTTCAGTAGTTTACAATTGATTTTATAGTTTCCAAAAACAGAAGTTAGCATGATAATCCTTGTTTAACCTTGACTAATATAAATTAAATTGAACTGCAGGTTTTAAGGTGATTGATTTAATGTTTGGGCATGTTTGTTTTCATTGTGGAATATGTTGCTTTCAAAACTCTTACTTTATTTGGTAGTACCTGTTCTAATTGTTTTATGACAGGCCACCTGTTTATGTGTCTTTTAATTGTTTTAACTGTTTTAATTCTTTTTATGGATTTTGTAAGACCCAGAGTCTTCAGGGTTAGATGGCCATGCTAAATTGAATAAATTAAGTTACTGTGTCTTGGAAAATAAGTTTCTTGTAGAGAAAGATGGATGCCATCATTCCTAAAACTATATTTCAATCATTGCAAGCTAGC